TCGTCTTTGATGAAAATTCTTCTAGTGCTCTTCGAACGAATGATTTAATTAGAAAGTTATCGGAAATTTCTTGTTACTCGGGAATCGTTTGATTCGGTGAGAGAACGCGATCGATGACGACAGAATAAAGAGGTGGTAATTAAAAACGATAAAGATTCGCTATCGACGAAACGAAATTGCTTTCAACGATACAACCTGTCCGTTTCTCTCGAGTTCGCTGAGTTTATGGAGGTAGCGATAAAGAAGTGACGTACCAAGCGTACGGTAGAGATTGATATATAACGCAGCAGATTACACATCCATTTTCACTACTCGTGCATCGAGGATACACGGCCCTGATTGTAGATCAGATGTACATACAGAATGTTGTGATTAATTGCCATGGTACCCCGCGATACAATGATTCAACTAACGTTTAAACGTTTACGAGCAACGAAAAACAAATAGGACGTACGTATGATTATCGGTACGTAAAATGATCTGTTCGAAATCGTGGAATATTGACAGGATACATATTTGACGTAGCTTCAGAACGGAGAATTCAAGCTTCAGCTTTTGTCTGCACTTTGCTATACAGATAACAATGTAGCTTTTTCACAGCCCAATCCGACGAATTATAATACGAATCGGTCGCTTGTCAACCACGCGATCAACCATCTCCCGAATGACCCACCCTCGTGTTTCGACGGCCTACACGAGTTCTCCCAGTTAATCACCAAGCAATCCGGCTTCTCGATTAACCAGAATATCTGAACGAGACAACCTTCGTTCCGAAATGTTGCAGGTTCTTGAACAAGAGCAGGAGCCAGGCGGCCATGATGGCGAACCGGGAACGGGAACGGGAACGGGAACGGGAGAGAGAACGGGAGAGAGAACGGGAGAGAGAACGGGAAAGGGAGAGAGAACGGGAGCGAGAAAGAGAACGCGAACGAGAACGAGAGCGGGAAAGAGAAAGAGAACGGGAGAGAGAACGAGAACGAGACGCGGACACCGAGGTCGAGTCGCCTCTGTCAACGAGGTCACGGTACGCGGCGTTGAAGGAAAGAAAACAACGGCTGGCTCGGTCCAGAAGCTCGCACAACTTCGGCGGCGATGACCTCGACCTCGACGAGGAACCACCCTCCCCGACGACCCAGTCGCCGAACGCTTATTTGGCAGCCAAGTACGGAGCCGGCTCTGAACTGGCCAGAAGTCGGAGCACCCATGCTCTGAAATCGCGAGAGCCAAGCCCGGAACGCGATAGAGCAGGAACCGAGAAGGATGGAGCTGCTCTGAGCTCCTGGGCACGGTACCTGAAGAACAAGTACGGGAATCGTAGCGCCAAAGACAAGGAGCCTTCATCGTCTACCTCGACAATACCATCATCGAGGTAAGGATTCGATGGAAATTTTTCTAAACTACCTAATTAAAATATCGAACTTTTTTTCAGTAGCAGCGCGACCTCGAGAAGGTTATCGCTCGGTCTACCTTTAAGGCACACCGGTCAAACATCCTTCGAATCTTCTGACGACGATCAAAAAAACCCGTCAGGCTCCCCCACGTCCCCTACAGCAGCTCCCGTTATACCCGCGGCAGCAGGTTCCTCCACTAGGTGAGTTTCTCCCGTATCGATCAAAAATGATCCCCGATATTTGACAGAGAAAAAAAATAATTACCAAAATGTCACAGTAATGGCCGGAGGAGTCACTACTTGCTGAAGCGGCGGCAGCTGTTCAAGTTTGGGATGCGGGGGAGCGAAGCCGGATGCTTTACCTGGCCGAGAGGCCTTGCGGTTGGCCCGGACAACACCATCGTCGTGGCCGACAGCTCTAATCATCGTGTTCAAGTAACTAAAAATTGCAATATTTTAATAATAAAAATTTGCGTCTTTCACGGAGCAAGAAAGATAAAAGTTACCCTTCATTTTCAAGGATAACTTCTTTAATTATTATTTTATGAGGTTAATGATTCTTGTGTTAATAGCATCATGAATCTAGAGATCCAGGGTTCAAATCCTTGGTTCCCAACATTTTTTTTTTTTTTTTTTTTTAATGATAATTTGTCTCTTTTTGAATAACTTAAATTCTATAAAAATTGTCCACAAAACGGGGTATAGGCGTGTTCAGCTCGACGAGCTCTACAAGCTAGCAAAGTTTCATTAATAAGTGACTGTAACACTTGGGTAGTTCTCCATGTTAGACCACGGCCGGAGAAATCAATTAGTTGTACCACTGACTCGACTCTCCTCTATTATTTACACGTATCGGTGGGGGAGGAAATTCATCGAATCTCACTCGTGTACATATACTAACGTAAATGTATCGCAAATAGAATCAGGTTTGAAATATTGTGCGTGAATTTTGCAGGTATTGGACTGTAACGGGAACTTCATGAAGGAGTTCGGAACATATGGAAGCGGTGAGGGTGAATTCGATTGCCTCGCCGGGGTGGCCGTGAACAGGATCGGGCAATACATCATCGCGGATCGTTACAACCACCGAATACAGGTTCTCGATCCTTCCGGTCGTTTTCTGAGAGCCTTTGGCTCCCAAGGAAGCGCAGACGGTCGATTTAATTATCCTTGGGGAATCACCACCGATGCTCTTGGATTTATTTATGTGTGCGATAAAGAGAACCATCGCGTCCAGGTACGTGTTATCGCGATACTGTTATTTATTATTATTTACGTCACGATACAATTCGCGAAGTCGTACGAACAAAGAAAAACGCTCGTACCTTCTGATGGATCTCTGCTTGTATTGCTATCTACTGTATTATGAACATACGATATTGATTATTTAGATAAGATGTTAGTTTTCAGTGTTCTCTTAACCCCCCCTACAGCCCTCAGTATATGTGTACCACAATTGTGTACAGTTGATCCTGAATAAACGTATCAACTTTTTTTCTGCAATAAACAGTTTAATTCTAAGCTGATTCTTTGTATGAACCCTTGAAACGTCTTTCCGAGAAGCGAGTTCAGCCACGAGAAAGCATACGGAGAAGTAACGTATTCGACGAAGCGTAAGTGATGTACGAAAGAAGAACGCGATTTTCATCTAGAAATAAAAATAAAGAAAACAGTTCCTTAGATTCGTTTCACCCATTTCAATGCTAAACACTTTCAACGAACCGTACGTAGATGTGTAACAATTTCCGTTCATGAATTAAACATGACACTCAGAGTATTCACAGTACTAGCACCGCTTCGATCGTTACAGATGCAAACACCTGTTCATAAGACCCGATGACACAAATGTCACGATGTATATAACAGAAGGTATTCTAACAGCGTGTCACCATCATGTTAATACGAATTTCGAGAGACATTTTAAAAAGCAACCCCTTTTTTGTAACAAAAGAAATCCCCGGATTTTCGTGTAATCTGTCTAAAAGCGTCTGTTTTCGCAGGTGTTTCAATCGGACGGTACGTTCGTGGGCAAATTCGGTTCCTGCGGAAGCGGACGCGGCCAATTGGAGCATCCTCATTACATAGCGGTGAGCAACACGAACCGCGTGATCGTGAGCGACGGCAACAACCACCGTATACAGATTTTCGACGTGAACGGTCGTGTGCTGACCTCCTTCGGATCCGAGGGTTCCGACGAGGGTCAGTTCAAGTATCCCCGGGGTGTCGCTGTCGACGACCAAGGCTACATCGTGGTCGCCGATTCCGGTAACAACAGGATACAGATATTCAGCCCAGAGGGCGCGTTCCTCAAGTGTTTCGGCGGTTGGGGTAGCGGCGACGGTGAATTCAAAGGCCTAGAGGGTGTTGCTGTCACGTCGACCGGTAATATCGTCGTCTGCGATCGCGAGAATCACCGCGTCCAAGTGTTCTGAATTCGTTTACAATCAATCTATTTATTCATCATCCTAATCTCTCTTTCTCCCCTTTATTTGCGTCGACCAGGGACGTCGAGCGATCTCAAGGAGCTTTAAAATCGATACAGCATTTCTCAAGGTTCTTTCTACACAGTACGCGTAATTAGAACAAGAGCAACGCTGTGGTCCGATAAAAAAAAAGGGATTTCCAAGTGGACGAATTATTATGGAAACGAGACCGACGGTCAGAATCTCGACGGTTTCGTTTGAAAGGGTTGAAACACGTCGCGTTAACCGCTTGCTTCGTTAGGATATTAACATAGCTGTGTTGTGTTGAGCTAATTTTCTCGCAGGGGAAACCCTTTGATACAGACCATGGAAGCTATTGTCTCTGAAGGGGAGGGGGATTATTCAAGCTATCGATCGTGTCTGGAACTTACCTCCCTCTTGCAATTGATCTCGATGATGTAACTCATCGAGGATTAAAGAAAAAAAAATTCTTGGACGTCGGTGTGATTCAAAGATACTGGTTTAACAGAAAAGAAAAAAAAAATATGTACATCGTTTATCTTCTCTCTCTCGTCTTACCACCCCCTCCCTTAATTCTGTCACCCTCCTCGTGCGCACATCATATCCGCGTAACGTAATTTAATTTATACTCAAAGTGACAACAATACAGTTTGTACCGTTTGTATGCTTTAAATAAATTGTTGCGGAAGAATGAAAAAAAAAAAAAAATGGAACAAAACCCTTGGTGTTTAAACACACCCCTTGTTGTTTTGCTGAAAGAAATTTGTAGAAACTGAAGGTGGGAAAAAAAAAGAAAAAGAAAGAGGAATTATCACCTTTTAGAGATCCAAATGACGACCTTGTTCTGGTAAACCATCCCCTGGAAAATTAGGACGATTCGGTGGCGTGACTTGGACGATTGCCTAGAGCTAGAATAGAGAAACAAACAAGGGGGTAAGTCAGAAGGTAAGTGAGTCAATAAATATATAATTTATTAAATGCAATGATGAAATGGTGTAACAATAGGGGGTGGGCGTATGGTGATCCTAGGATCACCATAAAGGGCGGACAAGAGGTAATACGCTGCCCCAGCCCAACGCACCCCGGATCGGAAATATAGATAAAATATTTTCGTTATTATTTACAATATTAGTTGAACGTTAGTCAATAAATAATAAACAGTGGCGTAATCCTTTATTTAATATAATTTAATAATGTAATATTACGTTTGCGATAATAAAAATATTACAAGAGATGGAGCCTTTATTACCATTATTCGTTTCCACTAAAAGTAGCACGAATCTGTTTTAATTATTGCCGCCATCGTTCGAAAATTCACGTGAAAATAGACGAAATTCCCTTTGAAAATACTTCCCTCTTCCTACGAAATTCTTTTCATTCTTTTTTAATTTAACGTCGATGCTGTTACGTCCAAAGGGAAAATTGACTTGTTTTTTTGTTTCGGTGAATGTTCGAACGCGAATAACGTCGGCTGGATGTAGATGTCGAAACAGCTGTCGAAACCATCAACCTTCCGGGATAGTCGCTCTTCGCGAAATCGAATGGGATTTAACAAATGAATTAATCGGCGTTACGTTTCCTCGATATCGTGTAGAAAAATCGCATTTAGACGACGCGAGACGTCGGGACACCACGCCATTCGGATTTATCACAACGAAAGTACGCGACATGCTTGGACGTTATTATCGAGTAATAATACAGAGCGTTTGATACCTCGATAAGACTAGAAATATGTTTATGTATCGCACGGGCCAGGCAGGCAGCAAGCAGGTACAAAGTGACCGTCGTCTTTAATCAAGGAACAGTGTGTAGAACATGAGCTAGGCACCGATATCCGATCGTTTCGACCTTTTCGACATCGTGATACAAATGTCCTACGGGATACCTCGTGATACATCAACACGATCTCGAAACACGACCGTTATCATGAGGAGAAAGCAAGACATACGTAGACAGATTATTTGGAATTTTTTTATCCGATAAAATTTTTCTATTTCTTTTCTGTTATTCGTTTATGGAATGATATTGTAAAAATTGAATTCTCTTTATACAATAGAGAGATTGTAGAGAATCGTGTTGATTTATAACGAGACATCTTACACGCGTATATATCTCGTGCGAATCATCTTGGAGACTTGGACAATTGGAAATATTCGAATCTATAGCGCGAATCAATCATTCCCAATTAGAAGAGAAGTTTTCATTGAATAGTTTCCTCTATACCTACTGATTCGTCTCTGCATCTAGAAAGTTTAGTTTGAAAAGTGGCATGACATATTTGTTTTCTCATCTGTATCGAGTTTAATTAAGTAGTAATAAAGTTATAATTAATTATTTAATTAATTAATTAAAGTGGCAGCAGTTAGGCCATGCGGCTCCTATCATCTAGTCGTCTTTGACTCTTGGCTTTCTTACGTAGATTTAAAAATTTCTTTACTTATTAAACTTTTTTTTTTTGTTGTTATATTTTGAGAATAATTTGCATTAAGTGTGACTTTTAAAGTTTATGTATCCTCGAAGCGCCTACCCTAGCGATGTCTTTTAATTAATAAGTATTTTTTATGCATTTTTTCAAGTATTTTTTTCCTTTTTCTCGGTTTGTTCATCGCCTTCTTCATACCCTCGATAATTTCGGTGTACGTGGTAATTAATGCGATTCTAGAGTATTAACGGGGAATTCTGAAATATTTCCACCACGGTCGTCGACTTTTCCATCTGGGGAACCAACCCTTATCGCGACTGAAAAATACCGTGTGCTTAATATTTTTTTTTTCTGATACACTTGTCCTCGAATTTTGGAAAAGCGACGTAACCGCTCGTGTTTTAGAGATCGGGCCATTGTCTCAAAAACCCTGGAAAAAAACCGATTCAATTCGGCGTGTAACGGACCTATAATTTCCTTCTATCGTTCTGTTTGTCTGAAAGTCATTCTTTGCGCGTAAAATTTCAAAAATTTGATTGCCACGCACAAAGTTGCACAAGCCCGACGCTAAAGACTAGAAAAAGAAAAAACAACGATTCCTAAGGGTGAGATTTCCTTTCGTCATCGGCCTCGTTTTCCCCCTTCTCATTCATCTTCTTTTTTTTTGTATTTTTCTTTTGTTTGTTAATGTACTATACTCGCTAGCCCTCGTTTAATAGGTTTTCTTAAGTATGTAATAAGCAAAAATATGAATATAATAATAGTTTTGTGTATATAATAATAATTACCATTATTATTTTACTCGTCTCATTTTAAGTATCGATAGGATCGTGATTAATTAATTAATTAACAATGATTAAAAGAGTGTAAGAATTTGTTATCTCTTTCTTCGCTCTTCTTCCATTCGCATCCTTCCCAACTCATCAGCATTCCCGTTCTCATTTTTTTTATCTCTTCTTTGTATTCATTATCAACTAATAATTCTTTAAGCTTAATGGCATGAAAATGCTCGTTGGAATTGACTCGTGTGTGTACAATTTACCTAGAATCTTTTTATCTTCTCGTTCCGTTACGCGATCCGCATAATTTTATTTAAACCACGCTACCAAAAACCTCGTAGCTCGTCTTCAAATCACCGGAGGATCAACACAGGAATTTCCCTTTTTCATTTTTTTGTAACTTTTTTCTATTTTTTAATTATCGAAAAAACGAGGATCATCGATCGGTCCATTCTATCCGACAGATCTGACGGCGTATAATTATCTCGACTCACCATAACTGGAATTTTCATTACTTTTTGTCTGTCTGTCTGTCTGTTCCCCGTCTCGGCGACAGGGAACCGATTTAGTTTCTCTGTTTTCACTTGTAACCTGTATATTTTTTGTTTTAGTATTTTCTGCGGAAATACTTTCTTCGATCACCATTAAATTTTATCACAATAGATTTTTGTCTTCTTAAATCAATCTGAACGCGGGTACCACGGCTGTGCCCCCGTGTGCATAATTCCGCCTCGCTACGCCTTAATTTACCTCATCATCATCATCATCATCATTTTTTTTTTTTTTTAATCATTTATTCCCTTCTTTCATTATCTAAAGAACCTTTTAAAAAAATCCCCTACTGGAGAGAGAAACGGTAGGTAGTTTTGTAACAATGTAATCGACTATCTCTTACCCTATTATGTAAACTCTACGAAGTTGATTATACTGTGACTTTAAGCACAGCCCGTGGATGAAAGTGCCCTCCCGTTAAAATGGAGAAAGGGCTCTTTTAATTTCTTTTTTTTTTGTAGATTTTCTTTTTTATTTGGTTTATACTTTTACTTTTTTTCTCGTTTAAACTGTCCCTAGTAATCATTCTCTGTTTCTCTAGCAGACTTTTCGTTCACACTTTCTCACTCGTCCACACTTTCTTACTCTCTCCCTCTCTCGCGCTCTGTATCTCTCTTTCTCTCTCTCTCTCTCTCTCGTGTTTCCTTCTAGAGCTCAGATATACCAGATTTCCTCGAAAATAAGATGCTTCTTATTCATCGACCTGAATTGTATTGCCTTTCTTTTGTTAAGCAACAAAGAAGTTTCGTGCAAGGAAGAGATCATTGCTGCCACCTAATAGAATTACGCTGCATGGATATCTATTGAACGTACCTGTACAATAGATACCCGCCAGTATAATTATTATCATGGCAATTGAACATTCGTGTCATGCTCGACTTTAACAGAATATAAATAAGGAAAAATGATTTCAAAATTCGATTTCGCGTAAAAGCTGTGAAAAGACAGTGAAAATTAAATAAGAAAAGCATTCGACGATTCGAACGTTTAATATAATACTTAAGTGAATCGTTAGAAACGCAAAGCAAATCAAGCGTCTTTGATTAACACAACGCGTAATTGCAAAATAACACTAACACGCGTTTCCTCACTCCGACAAATCAATATATACGAATATAAACGAAACTTAGAGTATCGTCGATCAATATCATAGAACAAAGAGAAGAAAAAAACAATAAGTCTTATCAATACTGTTCTCCTTTCGTCGCGACATCGAGTCTTGTACTTAAATTATTTAAAGTAAAAAAAAGAAAAAAATAAGCAACAAAGAAAACAAAAATCGCGCGACAAGGAAAATGGACCTCGAGAACGGCTAGGTGCCAAAACTATAATAATAATAATAATAAAAAAGAAACAAAACTATCTATAGAGTGTGCCAAATCAATGCAAATATACGTATAAAATAGTCGTTCTCAAAGAAGGTATCAGCAAAGAAACATAGCCTCCTTTGTACTCTCAGTCGTAAAAATTATTCGAACAATCGATGCCTGAAGCCGGATGCCGACATTCTCTGAACATGCTTCGATCAACTCGATCTCAAAAATACTTATGCTTCGTCTATTATGCTCGATTAAGTGTTAGACGCGCGCGTGTACGCGTGCCGAGAGGACAATGAAACCCACCTACCTCTGGTACCACTTAAGCCTCGCGTCGACCGAGGAAATAAAGAAAAATGCAGGTAATACGTGATAATAAATAATGGCAGCGTTTGAGAATAGTAAATAGAAGAGAATTGAAGCGAATTGATAAAGAAAAGAATATATAAGATCAGGGACGAGGCACGAACCTTGAGTCGAGCTGCAGGGGACAAAGATGCGAAAGGTGGAAAGATTGTTTAGATTAAAAAGGCAGGTACACGATTAATTTAGGGATAATAAGAGAGCAAAGCTTGTCCGTCTTGGTGGCCGTCAATTTTCCCATCGAACTTTTACCGATCGTCGAGAAAATACCAAATGACGACGACCATATATATACCGGACGGCTAGGCTCTTATTACTTTGCTTCCGGTGTAACATCGCCATTCTGCGTGCCGTTCGATCGACAGTCAATTAAGTGACCTCTTGGTTGGCGGCTACTAGGCTGGCCCCTGGGCTAGATGAGGGCGAGCTTTGGGGGGCAGCAACCGCCCGTAAAATGCCCGCTGGCGGCCTCCCGTTCCCGTTTGCGGCGGCCCTGGCGTTCTGCAGCCTAGGTTCGAGAAATAGCAGATCGTTTCATGTAGATCGTGTTCAACCACGTTCAGCTACTTGCGAATGTGCGTACATGACACTGAATGATCAAGCACTCTGAAGAACACGTCAACTACGAAACAACGAGCGCATCTAAATCGTTCAATCCGCAATTAACGCTTTGCTCTTTGTCGAATTGGAGTACTTTCTCTTAACTCGGTTCGATCACTTTTGATTCACTTTAACGAATTAGTATTCTTTCGAATGCCATTATCCTGTCGCTAAGCGAAAAGTACTTCAATCTAACAAAAATATCAAATAAATAGAAATAGAAATGAAAGAACTATTCTATATATAAAAGGAGCAAAGCGATAATTGAAGAGTATCTTCTCGTCTCTATGAACAAGCCTCCGTATGAACATCGTTGCATGGACTGGTGTGTTACGTCGTACCACGGTTAAAGACATATAAAAACAGAAAACACAAAGCACCGGTTACATTCCGTAATTATAACACAGAAGCTAATCAAGGAATGATTTCGTTTCGTATACGAGAGAGATCGTTAAGTTTCTTTTCATTTTATTTCTTTTCTTTTTCTGTATTTCTTTTGTTATCGATGTCGTGAAACAGGGTGCACTGATCGTCCTGGTGAAAGCGATAGAGCAAGTATCCCTCGTAGAGATACAGGGAGCGATAAACGAGCAGTGTTTGCCGCGCGACAATCGCCCTACTTGTTTTTCGTTACTTACCGGTCGTGAATCGTCCCACGACAAGCTGCATTAGTACACACAGAAGAGGGAGACTTTAGAACTTTAGATGTCTTTCGTACGATAAGCCTTTCGTGTGCTAACAAGAAGTCTACATAACTAATAATGCGTGCACATCGTTGCAACAGGAAATGCAATTATGTGCACCGACTGATACTAACTTGATTTTCGACTGCCTCATAAACTGTTGGATCTTCCTGGCAGCCTGATGAGCAGCCTGTTGATGAACCGCCTGCTGTCTCGAGCTAGCCGAGCTTGGACGCGAACGATAATTCCGATAGTTACTTTGTATCACCAGAGCAGCCTTCGTAGCTTGTCTGCGAACATAAAGGAAAGTAGAAGAACGTGAGGTAAGAAGTTTGAAAATTTATACTCGTTTATGTAACGTGCGTGTGTGCGTATAAATGAAGAGGAATAGCGAAAGAAGCGAAGAAAGGTAAAAGAAGCTTTCATCTCAAACAAATGTCGTATTAATTTAATGCCAGGTTAATTTTGTATTCGGAACGACGCGGCGGAGGTAAGGAAGTTCCAAAAGTTTTCGAATTATTTACGATGCCAATTAAAAGTTCGCCACAAGCCCACCTTTGGGAGCTGGATAGAATGAACTTTCCTGAAATCCGTCCCCCCCCCCCCCCCCCCCCCCCCCCCCCCCCCCCCCCCCCCCCCCCCCCCCCCCCCCCCCCCCCCCCACGCAATGGTACGCCTTGTCCTCTGCGTTTTATTAATTGCCGCTTATTAAAACTAATGTTCCGACCGGCGAAACAACGACAGGAAATTAACGATGCCGAGGAACAACGAACGGATCGATACAATGTGCAATATATTTCGTATTCCATGTAACTATACGTGTCACCGCGTTTAACCCTTCCAAGAACCTCGAACTCGTTTGATCTTGGTTAAAGTAAAGGATTGATCACGATAAAGGTAAACGAAGAGCGAACGAAACGGCCGGGTCGTGTTAAGCTAAAAACAGATTACCTAAAATAAGCGTACTGTTTATGTCGACGATAATATTGTTGGATGAGTACAGCAGCGTGTCTCTCGGCTTCCTCTTGCCTCTGACGTCCCTTGTAATTTCTGTAGGCTTTCTGGATCATTCTAGCGGCATGATAAAGCTCTCTTTGCTCTCGATCGGACAGAGTTAGCCTGCTAAGATCCGCTTCGTTCCCGTCACCGTTTCCGTTACCTCCACCTGTCCCGCAAATGCTAGAGCCGATCACGTTACCGAACTTTCGATCTCCACCGGACGTCGAATAGTATTGACCGTTATGGCCGTTACTGTTGTCTAGCTGCAACTGCAGCTGTAAGAATTCGCAGAAGTCGGCTGTGGTCGGCGGTGGAGATGGCGAGTCCGGTGTGAGGCAGCTGCTAGACGGACTCGAAGGACTAGCATCTGCGTCAGCATCCGAAACTGATGCCGCTCCTCCGCTGCACTCACGATACGAGTCGAACAATTCTCCAGAATCGAGCGGCTATAAGAATCACGATCATCATGCGAGCAATCAATTGTTATGGGTAAGAAAATTGTTCGGAAAATTGTTTAGAATCGTTGCTTAAGCGAGAATATAATGCGATGCGAATGCAAAGAGGATGCATCACGGTTTACTCACCATCTGTTCCATCAGGGCATCCTCTAAAGGTGACAAGGGCGGTGCCGTGGGAGGCGGCGAGGAAGAAGACGGAGAATCACCTTCCGCTCTCTTGATCCTTTCCGGTAGCGCTGCTATAATTTGCTCAGCCAATGTCAGCACCCTCGCGTCTTCTTCCCCTATAAAAAGGAATCACCACCCTAGCCAAAACTCGAAAAAAGGTGTTACGGGACCACCGAAATCACATAGATCACAACACCGAGGTTTTTTTTTGTTTGTTTGCTTTTTTTTTTTTTTTTGTTTTTCTGTTTTGTTAGCCGTGATTGTATCTTACGATGAATCAAATCTGACGTTAATGAAACGTGTAACACCAAAAATTAGGCAGATTATTTCTCTACACGACGAATCGAACGTCTTCGAACAGGCAAATCAGACGGCGAGCGTAGACGTGTTTTCTCAGCTTGTTGAAAGTTCATCTCAACGGGTGATTCAATGCAGCCCGTGTTGTATTCGATAGTACGTGTCCGGGGCACAGCCGGCTGTACAGATCACGTGTTTATTTCATGTAAATAGTCTCTTTAACTTCCAATTTGTTTTTTTTTTTTTTTTTTCACCGTATGCGTATACGGTATCCGTTTTTATAAAACTCGTCTGCGTGAAGCCCAGTGACGAGACTGTCTGTCTCTCGGAGAATCGGTCGGCAGCCGATAATAGGCGGCTAAGAAAGTTTAGACGTTACACAGCAATCATCCAACACCAGCAGTTACGAAGGCCAAGCAACACCAATACTGCTTTAAGCTGCAATAGTTCAGAGGAGTTAGAGGACAGCGAGCCTGGACCATATAATCCGGTCGTCTCGTACGCACAGACAGACAGATAGGAGAAAAAGAACGTAGTGGATATATATGTGTGTTATCGTGGAGAAGGTGTGGTTACGGGTGTGTTATGTAATAAATAACGTGTGAAACAAAAAACAGAGAGCAAGAGAGAGAGAGAGAGAGATAGATAGAAAGAGAGAAACAGATAATTTAAGGGACGCAGTTTTAGCTAGGAACACTACGGATCACAGCCCGCGCAGTACTGTTTTTATCTAGGCCGATGAATCTATAAGTGTATTATTAGAAAACAGACAGAGTTACGAATATAGTTACAGACAGACAGGCAGACAGACAGACAAATAGAAGGGGAAACGAGGAAGGTACGGACCTACAGTCTCCTGAGGGGTCGGAGCGCTCTCCATTCCCTGCTCGCTGAGGGCTAATGACGAGTCATCCTCTTGCAACAATTCCATGTTGTCCAGCAGCGGTGAGCCACCTGTGTTTTTCGATAAACCCCTTAATACTACGTTTCCTGATTAATCACGCTCGCATGACATACGACCTTGTTATCACTAATTCTTACGGGAGGAGAGATTTATGACGCGGGGGGAAGTGTTAGTAAAGGGGGGGTGGGGGAAGGAACTGTGATTTACGTGTTGGACGTGAATGTATGTGCGTGTATATAATAATATATATACGGAAGAGGGCAGTATAATAGCAAACGAGACTAACACAACGCCAGATCGAGACCGCTGTCTTGAGATGGCCTCCTAGGACTAGGGCTGGCGGGTCGCAAAAACAGCCTCTCGTCTTGCCTTCTCGCTTCGAGTCGATTCAATTCTTCCGCGATCGCCGTGTGACCGTTCTCTGCCGCTAACTCGGTCGCGCTTCTATTCTGACAATCCCTCACGCGAAGCGCCATCGCGTTCCATCTGCGTAAATGGATGACCAAGTTGTTCTTCGTATCGTACCAAATTCGTTAACCCTAAGAAAAATCCTCTTTTCTTTTTTCTTTCAATAAACTACGAACCTATAAAGGATCCTGGCAGTATCCGCGTGTCCCGCTGCACAGGCCCAAGCGAGTGGCGTCAGACCGGCGCTATCCTGCCTCAGTGCGTCAACTTCAGCGTCTAACACGCTACTAGGATTTTCCGCTCTCCAATGAAGAAGAGCGCAGGCTAACCTGGAGTAGCCCAATCCGGCGGCCAAGTGTAACAAGGTTGGACCACCGGATTGTAACGGTTCCGCTCCGGCTCGCCACGGACGGACAACAGCATCCTGAAACGTTCGTAACAAACTCCGTGTACACCATGGAAATATGATTAAATGGATGATAAAACGCGATACTGACTTGACAGTACGCGACCAATCGTTCCTCCAGATGAGCTGCGGGTGATGGAGGACCAGGTCCTTGCAAACGCGACTCCACGTCCGCTAAACGATCCACCAAAGCTCTCTCTGGACTCGGTTCGCTCGTCGGTGCTCGGCGATACTCGAAAGCAACGCTATCGGAAACAACGAAACCATCGCACGCCACCTGAAGAGACGCGATCCCCGGTGCATGGGCTGGACAACGACAACGCAATACTCCTGGTTGCACCAGACACGCCTCGACCGGTTCGGCGTCGAACAACACCGAGTAAGATTGAGAATTACTACCCCCGGTCCAAGGACCAGCGACCAGCACCTGAAACAAGCACCGAGTCCCCGATGTTCCCTGCTGATCGACCGATCACTTATCTTTAAACTACTCGACGTACCTTTACACCTCCCTCGGTGTAACTCCACTCCGGACTATATTCGGCAATATGGACGGTAGTTCCAGGATGACACCCCACGTCGTTATCAGACCCGCCTCTCTCCTCGGCCTTAGTCTGTTCGGCCTCGAAATCATGAAGTTCCGGTAGATCACCGAACACGTCGAACGCGTCCAAATTGACCAGAACGTCGTCCGAGGAATCGATGAAATCCATCGGGTTGATCATGCTGTTGTCTGCCGGGGAAGGCGACGGTGACGGAGGTACCATGTTCGCGGACAAGGTTCTTTGGATGTCTTCTTGACTCAGGTCCAAGGTCTCGGCGAAATCTGTCACCTCGGTACCGGTACCACCGATCGGTAACGACTGTACCGTGGAACGATCCATGCTTTCCTGAGCTTCGATCTCCTGTTGGGTCTGTTGTTCTCTGTCCACGCTCGTTTGCTGCACGATTTGTTGCTCCGTCACCTGCTGCATCTCCACCTGTTGGCTTTGTTGCTGTTGCTGTTGCTGCTGTTGTTGTTGCTGCTGCTGTTGCTGTTGTTGCTGTTGCTGCTGCTGTTGTTGATGGTGATACGGTTGGCTGTTGAGTATCAGAAGACCGCCGCCGCCTTGGATTTGTTGCAAACTTAAAACTAGAGGAGCCGGTTGTTGGCTTTGAGTCGTGTGGGAATGTCTCGAGTATACGCGGGGAGCCGGTGAGGCTGTTGCTGACGATTGCTGACCTCCGGTAGTCGAAGTAACCTGGCCATTAACAAGATTGCATTGTAACGATAGAACGGTTAGGTGTCCCTGAAACGTTAGCCACCAGGATGGCTTCTCCTTGATTGAACTTCATCGAAATGGTATCGGTACCTGATTGTCCGGTGTTAGTCTCCTAGGTGCAAGCTGAGTGCTGGTGGTTGAAGTATTGGAAGATGCTCTCTGCCTGTCCAACAGCTGAGAAACTATCATGTCGACGGGATGATTCGAGTGTTGCGTGAGATGAGGATTGTTCGGGTCGTCATCTCCGCCGAGGAACATGGGCCTTAGCTGTGAAGCCAGCTCGTCTCGCGTCCACTCTTTCTTGTCTGGCGGTAGTGCGAGACACGGTGGCAGGGCCGCTAGCTTAGCATCACCGTCCGGATAAGGAACGTTTAAGTAATGAACGAGCACGACGTCTGGATTCTGTAGTAGCCAGTAACATCGGCGATGAAACGTCGGGAGGATAGCCGAGTGCACGTAGCAGCCGTAAATGCACTCGACACCCTGTACCTGTGATTCGATGGAGACAGAGAGAGAGAGGGAGAGAGAAAAATATCTCACTTTTCACGAGCACCGTTCAATCGACGCAACGGGAACGTTTTCCGTCCCTGTCATAAGCAACAAACTACCTTCAGCTTCATGTGATCCTCCCGTGTAGTTTTGCCGTCTTTTCGTTTCTTCCAGCAATAACCGTCTCGCCGGTAACGGACTTTCTTTCTCGAGTACAGTAACATCGAACCACTTCGGGGCCGTACCTTCACCTCCCGACTTTGCCATTCCGCGTGCCTTTGGAAACTGATCAGGATGGCAGCGATTTCCTATCGACAGATCGAACCGTTTCATCATTACGCCAAGCGATTCGTCGATTATTATCGTTACGTCACGGGTCGCGATACCGTTTCGGGTAAGTGCAACTGGGAACTCTTCAAGATGACGAGGGGATAAGGGAAACTCGACGGAAGTAGGATGTACGGATTCGAAGGAGCGTATAGACATTCTTCGCGCAATCCCGCTGACATCTACCCTTTCTCGAGGATTTCGCTTACTTTTGCAAATCGCGCTGATACATCTCCGATCTCCATCCCACCCTCGTCCCACTTCTCGATTCATAACTTTCGCGAGCGTAAAAGCGGCGCGAGTCGAGACGACTCGAGCAAAATATTCGCATACATTTCGCGAGAAACGCTAAGGGTAGATCCTCGCGTTGAAATCCTCCGCGTCGAGAAGCATACAAAGTAAGAAGAAGCAGCCGTGACAAGTCTATCCATCCGAAGGAAATCATCCGACGCAATGTCATCCGTTATCCTCTGTCCGTTTCTCATATTTTTCTTTTTCTCTCTAAGCCCTGCGGGACGACGTTGAATAAAATGTTGATCGCTCAAAGACGGTAAAAGCAATGCGCGCCTTTCTTTCCTTCATGCTAATGCATACTATTAATAACAGCAGCTCGGTTATTATACAGTTCTCTATCGATTTTCCGCGACTCGAAACAAAACGCATAATAACGCAGAACGAGGGAACGAGCCGGGAAGCCGGTGTCTGAATAGAAAAAACGTAATTACCGACGAACAGATTTTACAAAGTTAATCGTGACACGTCGTTTTCCACGTCGAATACAGCCGCGAGTCGACACGCGAATAGGACGTTTTGAAATCACACATGGAATTAGAAAGAATTTCGGTGCTACAAGTATTCGGAATACGCAATTTCCACTCTGACTGTGACGACGGAACAGAGGAAAGCAGCCTCTCTTCGTACAAGAGAAAGAACGGTCGGAGGTGAAATAAGTACGTGGGCAGAAAGTGTATGGCACGCGATCTAACGTGGGGAAATGCAAATCGAACGCCAAACTGCGGCTACGATTCGTTCTAACCATAGAAAAGGTGGCTGGCAATAAAATTCTCAGCCGTTGATACGAAAGTTCAGTCAGCGGTGCTTCGCGTGTCTCGTTGCTGACGATCAATTCGGCGCGATGCAACGATTGCACTTTGCTTGCACGTGCAGGCCCGGCTCGAAATTTAAATTAAATACCTCGGATCAATCAATCCCAAGAGATAGGGAAAATAAAAAATAAAATTTTAGAAGAATTGCATAAAATAATTAGTGTTCCGACTCGTGGATCTACGCGTGAGATACTGCGAATGTCCGTCAGCTGATATCCGGGAATAATCCGGATACCAAAGGGACAATCGGAGCTACACGACCACAGGGATCGAGGAATTCTGCATGGACTAATGGTTACTGATTGGGATTGCTTGTCTGGCAAGCTGCACCCACAAATCGTACATTTGAAATGAGGTATGGTAAGATGGCGTTTGTCGTGGTTCGGTTAGATCGCAAGGGCATATTGCCAATTAGAGACCGAATCACCGATTACCTTTGTTTCGATTCGCGTACAATGAAACGGGTGTACCGAGAAAAAAGGAAAAAGGTTAACCGTGAACACAGGGAATCCGTAAAAATAGATTACAGCAATTATCGGGAAGCTTCGTCTGATTCTGGAAGGTAATTGCCGAGGAAAGGAAGGCCGGAGTATGGCTCCGGGTACTTAATATCTTTGTACCGTTCCCGTGGGTAGGAAGTTCGAGTTTCCAAAGGTTCTCCGGCGAACGTGGCCTGGATATAAATATTCTTAACGAGGGATGGATGAGAATGAGCAGGACGGGGTAAGTAGAGTGGCTGGAAAGTAGGGATACGGAATAAGAGGCTCCACGCTCAGCCATTGTACAGGGTGCCTCGAATAAATGGGACAGTATGTATCTTTTAAACGATCGAAGAGAAAGAAAATATTACAATAATAAATAGAATTTAATGATACCTATTCTAAAATGAAATTTATTACAAGGAAGGGAAACGTCGTTAAAATAAAAGACTGGTTAATTGATCATTTGCATTCTATCAGAAATACACTGCACGATCCTCTGCAACCGAAACTAGAACTTCTGGCCTCTTTTAAATTCGCGAACACCTTCCTTCCCTCTCTGTCCTTCTCTTTACACGAATCTACTGCTGATCAATTGTACGAAAAGGTCAAGAGTTAACAGTCGTTTATCATTCCAGTTAACATCAGATCGAATAGATAACTAAAAATACCTTGCGAAAAGAAATGAAATTATTATTATTTGTCCTAGAGTATTAATAGCTTCCCTTGTGCTATCTTAATTCGATCGGCCGCGAATCGTTTGAAACGTAACGAAATTTTCTCCACGCGAGGACTCCCACGAGGTAAATTGATTTTCTATGCGTTACCGTATTTCGCAACGTGCCAGACGTGAAATGGGTCAGGCAACGATGGAGGCTAGTTTAACTTGAAAGACGGCGTCTGACAGTGCATATCGTTACGTTGCGTGCAAGGTCGGTCGGCTTCCATGCAAAACGCCAGTCAGACTCGCAAAAATTTTTACCGTTCTTAATTGCGTACATAATATTTTCAAGTTCGTGTTCCTTAGAGTCACCCATCTTTTTTTCTCCTCCTTCTCGGTGTTATACATGAAATTTCAACTCTATGATATATCCACGTGGAAGAAGGTCAATCCAGGCGTACTCTTTGCACGTTGAAACGCATAGATCCTTCAAGAGACGATGAAAGAGCCCATAGATTCCTGCATTCGGTTTAACGGATACGTAAACGAGACGCCTTCTGTCCCGCGTGTTACCGGAAAGGATGTATTCTCCTTGATTTACGAATGGAAAAGCACCGATAAATCGACCCTCCTTCCGACGCCCATAACGAAGATGCTACGTCTATTCGACGCTTCCTGTTTACGATGGATATCCGAAGAATTCCGTGGAAAATCGATTATCGGTGTGCAAGCGAAATAAATTGCGAAAATAATAGCAATTGCGGGAAATCCGCGGTGGTATATCGTCCGTAGCGCTCGAGGTAGAAGTAGAACGTAATGCGTTCGGGCGGGCAGTAGAATAGTCGCGTTTATAGTCAGACCAGCCGGCTCCGTTCCCTTACAAGTACTGAATCTAATATATTTTTCAAACGTAACTATGATCACGATTTTTTTTATCCTAGAAGTCAGTGTTACACCTACTGTAAAAGGTGAAACAAATTACCGTAATAGAAGGCTTTAGATAGGTAACCGATAAATGTAAAAAGGATAACGAGATGCACTAGCACTATCTAAAATTACATCCTCGCGAGACCCCAATATCGTTTACTTCCAAATATAGTCACCGGCAATAATGGTGAGAACGCGGATGCATCTGAGAAATTGCATATCGATGCACCTCCCTGAATAAACATCCCGGAAACTTTTAAATCAAACTGCCAATTATCTCTCCATAATTAATGTTCGAGTTGCCGCAGTTTGGAAACGCGGAAAGAAACGGAGTCGACGGTTGACTTCACAATAACCGTGTTTGCCGACATCGATTTCGAAGTTGCGTCCAAATACGATTCTCGCTGAAAAATGGCCGAATCGGGAATTGCATTACTGGCTGTGCAAACTAACGTTTAATTGCGTCGGACTGTCATTGTGTACCCAGGTAAACGGTAGGCCATTCAATGCATTTATACTCTGCTGCAATCGGAAATCAATAAGCAAACAGAAACATTGTTTTCGGATCGATTTCCGCTTACAGATAGATAGGCCGTGTGGCTTCGTATGCTCATCAATTAAACGAAATGTTATCGGAGAAAACTGACGGCCAGCTCCGCATCCGTGTAAAACAGAAAATTCAACTGTAATCCGGAATACGATAAAAACGGGTTAAACGGAGAAAAAAAACAGAATCAAATTTCATCGGCGAGCAAATGAAACAATTGTTGGCTTTCCAAGTTATAAATAAATCCGACAGATCTACATATTATTACGCGTTCCAGATTTTCAAACACTTATTCGCAATTATAGTCGGTTACCGACTAATAAATCAACGTCGTTAGACCTCATTACCCGACGCTAAAAGTGTAGAAAAAAAAATAAGGTATGCTTTCGCCGGGTGTGCGCCGAGAATTATTACTATAATTCGCCTCTGGGAATACGTTCAACGGCGTGTGTCTCGTTACAAATGGGAATTCATCAGGCAACAGTAATCAGAGCGAAAGGAACACGACAGAAATTATCTTGAGAAGTTATCGGGAAGCATCGGTTTGGATGGAAAACTGGAATACCAGAAACGTGACGGTATTCCTTGAAGGGGGATGAGAAATCGATGAAGCAACGTGTATACGTCTCTTTTCTTCCTCTTTTTTTTTCTTGCTCCTTTTCTGGGCAATAAATTCTTGTTCCGTATAATCGGGGCTATTAGAAAAAAGAAGTTAATAGGAAAAGTTTCCATCGGAGGAATTCTCTCTAGCAGCAGCCACGAAATTGATTCGCTTCTTCGACGGTGAACAGAACGATTTCAGCAAGTTCGCAATGTGCTCGTTTGAAGTTTAGACTTGATTACGACCTGTCTCCGTTAACGACTTAGAATCTGGCAACGGGTCAATAAAAATTCAGCACGACCACGTTCGAACAACAGACTCCTTGTTAACATCAATCGAAGAAACTGCATTTCCATTTTCAACCGGTTACCTCGGATGCTCGCGTCGCTGTTGCGAAATTTATGCTCGGAAAAACGGAGTCAAAGTTCCATTTATCTTGTCCTGGTAAGCATCCACGGGACGAACAGATTTTTCGCCCGTTCAACCGTGAAAAATAAGACGGCTCAAAGTTCAACGATGACGTGCTCGCATATGCTGTCAAAGCACTCGAGAGAAAAATGGTCGTTGAAGAAGAGCAAGCGACACGGGAAAGAATAAAGGTGAAGGGGCGCAAAGAAAACAGGAGTGAAAACAAGATCACACGAAGTCTTCTAAGTCTTCTTCACAAAGAATTTCTACTATGTACACGTTACACACATGACCGTTTAAACTTCCTCGTGGCGTGAAAAAGTTGCTGCCGTTAACTTCCTAAGAGCTTCATCCTATGAATAGTTTCGCTAGCATGAATCGCTGATGCGTTCGTACCTCTTTCATCGGTTTCGCGGTTCTTCCGGTTGAATGAATAAAAAAAAGGAAAAAAAAAAGATAGGAAATTGACGTAATATTAATAGCGATACTTGGTACCGCTTCTAAGCCCACGAGACGACCGCTGGCTCATTCATATTTATGATATGGATAATTCCCCGATGAAGTTACGTCAACGTGAAAACTTAGACGATAGAAGAGTATATAAAAGCATGCAGAGCTCGAGTTTCAAGTTGACCTTATTAGCGACACACGTTATACGATAGATAGAAGACTAGCGATGGACTTAGCACGTTCGTTGCGGACACCACGAATCAGAACCGTGGATCTTCATATATTTATTAATTTTTATTTTATTTACTCGACGAGTGCCTACCATTCCGAATCTCCGAACAAGATCGAATCTATCCTTCCCCGAGATGAAACTTCGTGAAAGATAATAGGAAAAAGGGGAAGAGAATAGTTGAGTAATCGGTAAGAGGGTGAATTTTCCTCCGAGTTCCGGTACCCTTAATTTCCTAGTATCGTTTGAGAGGGGATAACTCTGGAAAGAAAAGGAACATCATGGGAAACAGAGAAAGAGGGGGGGATGAAAAGAGGAAGTTATCGTTGGCGAACGATAACAGAGGGAAAAGCATAGGCTCGCAATTGGATTCGACTCGACGGGAACTGAAAACTCAACTCGGCTCGGCTGAGCTCTCTCTAGCTGGCTCCAGCTATTGATCGGAGGCCGACCGGGGTCAGAGTAGCAGTGGACTACATCGGTACACCTACGGGTGCAACGGTGCTCCACGTGTTGGTATGTGCACCCCTGCACACCGATGCGAGCTTGCACACGAACGGACAGCATCTATCCTCTCTCTAACCACCGACGCTGCTACGTACGAGCCACCAACGGCGTTGCGACGTCGCTATTTACTTTCCAGTTGTGCCTACTGGAACGCCGTGTAAATGTATATCCAGCTGGTGCCGCTGGAGAACCGTGTACACTTTTGTTGCAATTCGACCAGGACATTACTTTTTCAACCTGTTTTTCCTTTTTCCACCACTTCGCGAACTTCTAACCCCGTTGAATTTTCCTCGTATTTTTGTTCTTCTCTAATTAAGAACGAACGTCCGAGCAGGCGAATTCGAAAATTCTTTTATCAATCCTTCACTCACCTCGTTGGTGTTCCATCGATGCCTCTGGGTTGGAAAGTGTTCGGCTCGCGGCAAGGTCTCCAAATTCTCCGGAAGTTTGATCGGATCCCCGTCTAAACAGAGCAAAATATCGGTGAATATATTTCATCGGACAATTCGATCTTGCAGGTGGAACAGTTCCAGTTGCACGAATTTTTTCGTTAACTCGAACACACCGACTAAACTGACCATCGGTGGTATCACGCGAGTATAAGTCATGCTTACACTTTTGTTTCGACGAAAGCTCGAGCGTTTGCATAACGCATCATTAACCGTGTTTATATACAACGGATCGAAGTGGTTATCGATCGCAACACGGCTCGAGTGTGCGAGAGCCAAGAAAAACCTCTTTTAAAAGTAATGCGCTTTTCACGTGCACAATGCTAACCCTCCTAAGTGTTTGAACACGTAACCAACTTGTTCCGCAAAAATGGAGCCAAGGAACGTTCCCCATCCACCCTCCTTCCCTCTTTTCTTTCTCACGGAAACGTCCGGACTGGAAGAAAAAAAAAAGATTCAATCGAACGATTTAATTTTTCTAGGTCGCGTGTGAGAATTTATGACGAGCTATCAGCCGATAACTATCGACACATAAAATCCCTCGAAAAATAGTTTCTCTATTCCTCGTCGAACCTGAGAGACGCCTGATGCAGAAATTGTTCGAATATAAAATGCACGCGTATCGACGTTTCGAGACGTTAAGGAAACGGCTGTTCGCTGGATGAAATATTCCTGGTTACCGATAGTGCGGCTGCATATTCTCGATTCCATCATGATTTATCGCCAATACCTTCAGCGTATTATGAATTTTTCCAGCGCCCTAGCTATATGGAAATCTTAACCAGTATGCGTTTCAATTTCACAGAATAAATAGCATCGAAATCAAAAGGATAAGCAAAGAAAATGTCTCGAGAAGCAGAGCGAAATGAAAGAAAAATGGTTATCTGAGGTGCAACAATTTTTGACAAATTTGGCATGATCGAGATTGTATAGAGAATATTGTACGATCCTCGAGGAAGATGAGGACTCACTTGGTGCGAGAGGCGTCGGGTAGGTCGCGTGGTACACGACGCGCTGTGGATTCGAATGATTGTAGCCCGCCATTTCCGTGGCGCTCGTTCGAGCGACCGCTTCCTGGATCTTACCGATCGTGGCCGATCGTCATCGTCCTTGAACGTACGCGAAACGCGACCGCTTCTGTGCCCTGGCTGACATTCCCAGGCTCCTCGTGTATTTCGATGAGTGTGCGGCTGATATGGCGGCTCGGTGATGCTCGTTGCTCCCGATTCTCGATCGTGACAAGCTACGACGACGGCACTCGTTTTGTCAGGATAGCTTGCCGCCGGGTTCTAGGATGGAAACACGACTCGCTTGACGTTGCCCTCTGTGTGAGCCTCGTGCACGTGGGTGGTGATTCCCCTTAGAACGGCAGGACATATCCCCCGAAGGATCGTGTACGCGAGCCAGGTTGTTCCTTCGTACGTTCAACCCTCGATTTTAAACGTTGAAGACAATGGAAAATTCGCGATAGAATTTCGCACGCACAGAGAGCGAGATAGATGGAAAGAGGGAGAGAAAGAGAAAGAGAGAAAGATGGGAGGGAGAGAGGGTGACACGTTACCGGATGTTTCTCAGTGTGACGTTTGGACAACACACGTGGGGAACGCGTGTAAAATGGTACCACGTTCAAGATCGAACCTCCTCCCTCTCTTCAGCTTAAGGTTTCTCCTCTTCCTCCTCTTATACGTTTTCGATGCTTCTTCGTATTAGTATAAAAAACTGGAGCTCCATTGTATTCTGTACACAGATAACCCGAAACGATCCTCTCTCTCTCTCTCGCGAACCTTCGTTCCTCCTCTTCGTCTAACCTTATCTCCTTGTTCTCTGTAACCTCTTCAACCTTTCCTTTCTATTCTTCGTGAAAATTCACCCCCACCGTACTTTCCTCGAATCTCTCTCACGGACACTCTCACTGTCTCTTTTTCGTTCTTAACCTTCCTCTGTCTCTCCTCTTTCCTTTCTTTTTTTTTTATCTTTTTTTAAATTGTGCGTTCCAGGAGCTCGTATTCTTCTTATATCCTAAGTTACAACACCGAACCTGTCCCTATCGGAGGGACAAAATAATGTAAAGGACACACAGTACAGAGAGAACTTAAAAAGAGATTCGCCCGTGGCCGGAACGGTTTACGATCGCCTTTTATCACCTTTTTATCCTTCCTTCCTTTTTGTTTTCCTCCTCCTTCGCCTCCTTTTTTACGTCCTCACCCGTCTTCAATCCTCTCCTCTATCGTTCGCACACTTTCTTCCTCTCTTCTCTTTACCCTCGCTTATCCTCACGTATCCTTTTTTCGTTGCTTTGACAGGCTTCGTAACGTTGCTTGAAAAGGCTGGAAATAGTTACTTTGTCGTTCGCGTTCCGTGTTCGTATGTTTTCTTTTTCTTTTTCTTTTTTTTTTTTTAATAGCAGAGGTCTAAGAGTTTTTCTTTAGAGTAGGTAAGAGACTTTTAGGAGACGTGTGTAGTTCGTGTTATTTAGTGTTATTTACAAATATGTATGTTATTGTTTTGTTAATAAAATAGGTTCAAATTAGTCTTTGGCCCCGCGTGTCTGCTCCCGAGCGGCGGGAGCCGCAGAGTGAGCCAACCCGCGACTCTCGACCTCCGTCCATCGCCCCTCTTTTCGTCCTTCCACCACCGTTCCCTACCCCTTTTCCTGTTCCGCCATTTCATAGCCCCCTAACCCCCACCATCGAGACCAGTCCGACTATCCAGCCCCAGCCACAGCCCCTGTCTGCCGAATCCCTTTTCCTTCACCCCTTGTCCCTCTCGCCAACCACCGCGTCTGCTGCACCTTCAACATCCAACCCCCACCTTAACTTCTCTGCTTCCAACCCCTACTTTGCCACACTCTACCACCCTTCCACTACCCTCTCTTTCCGCTACGTGTTTCCGCTCGGCAAGGTGTGGGTGCACACCGAGCCAATTCCGCGGAGAACTCGCCGATGCTACCCTCTGGAAAACTCTGGCGGAGTTGTAAATTAAGGATTACCGAGGATGCAAATTAATGCCTAAGCGTACATTTCTAGCTGCTAGCCTTCCGTTCCGTAGGATCATCCTGCAAGCTGGAAACGAAGTGTCGTGCTTCGTGTCGAGCCACGATAATCGATTGTTATCCGACCTTGTGGCGGCATTTAGAACAATCGTGCAGGACTAATTCCTTGCGGGAACGTTCAGCGAATCCCCTATTCCTTCGATCCTTCTCCTTTTTTTCTCTTTTCCCCGACGATTCTTCTTTCTCTTTGCGGGGATTTACGAAGGCTTTAGCTTCCCGTCCGAAAGCTCGAAAATCGCGGTGCAAAGTAGCCACCGGATGATAGGGGGATGGAAAAAAGTAGAAGGAAGAACACGCGTCGGCGAATTGCAACTCCTCCCGGGTTCTTTCTTCTTTTTTCTTCGTTTAATTAGGCAGCCAGTTTAACTGGGACAAGCGAGAAACGCACTTGCCCAATTCGGCGATAAATCGGCTTTACGCTCTTGGAGAGAGGAAATAAGAGGGAAAGAAAAGAAGCAGCCCGTATACGTTCTCCCGGGAGTTCTGCAGCATGGCCCGCGTGAAATAGACTAGAACCGACGGGGTAGGAGTTTAAAAATGTAAAATTGCAGTGATTCAGCATTTATCGAACACCTGACAATCCGCTACCTCTCCATCGACAACCGTGAACTTTCCTAACGTCCCCATCAATATTTACGCTCGACATAGAAACTCCTGGGCCGAAAAAGAGATTCCAACTATCGGCTAATAAATCGAAACTGGTCGAAATAAAAGCGAAAAGGAACGAGACGAGAAGAGGGGGTTGTAAAAAAGCAACTCCCCGGAGAAGAGTAAAAGACGGGAAAGAAAAATGTCGAGCAGATTCTACCGTTCGGGGACACACATAGGCGCAGCCGTGGGTCCTCATCCCCCTTTTTCTACCGAACCCCTAAACCATATTCAGCTCACAACCTACGACTGGTCTAAGGTTATAACACGGTTGCCTTCTTCGCGTCTACACACGTACTTTCTACACGTACAATGACAGCCGTACCTTTGCAGACTTTTGCAAGGTAGGCTATACAGAGCTATAAGCAGGGCATGACACAGCATACATCGGATGCTCGCAGAAGGTTCGCGTCGAATTTTAATGGAGGTGCTGCCATCTCCCAGTGACCCCTCCAAGTGGATCTCTATAGATATCGGTGAAAAAAAGAGAGGCAAAAAAAAAAAATAGAGAGGAGGATGACGGGGGTTGAAATCACTCGGGCGCCAGGACCCGAAACGCCCGGTATCGCGGATCTGATTAATGGATGGATTCACGGGCGCGTATTTATATGGATTTAAGCGGCGTTTCCGGGCGCACATGCACACACGCGAACGACACCCGACGTACACGGGAATCCGCGTGCATAACCCTTCAGCTCTGAATTAGGCTTTCGGATGCGTGTGCGGTCTGTTTACGCGAACAGGCGCATGTGTGCGAGCATGTGCAGTCGAGCATCGTACGGGGGTGGCTCTCCCGTACACGCCAGGCTCGTACATTTTCTCGCATAAGCTCGTAATTTATCCAGGAACTGGTAATTGAGCGGATCTTGTAACGAGACGGTTGCTGATGAAATGAAATAAGCCTGGGGGATCTCTGAACAGTTTCATCCCCGACCACTCTTCTCTAGCTGTCTGTTTATTATTTCAAATCGCGGGAATTTATTTTTCTTTCTGTCGCTGATAACGGGAGCAACGTGTTGTTTTTCATTTGACTGATCAACCCTTTCAGAGTGTATGTTTATTATTTCAAATCGTGCGAGTTTATTTCTTTTCGTTGATAATAACGTCAACGAGAGGAACATACTCCCGCGTTGTCTATTTTAACCCCTCTACGAAGCTCCTTTCATCGGTCGACCTAGCATTCGAGGTTCCTCGTAGAGAAAGGTAAGCGAGAGATGAAGACCGAGGGAAATAGAAACGGGATCTTATTTTTAGGTAAGCACAGGGCAAAAGTGGAACACGCAAGGTGCACGATCCGTAGCTCTACGAGCGGACAACGTGGTCAGAAATGATCGCTATTGTTTCCTGGAGCTGGACCGCCAACTAATTTTTGGTATCGTGCCGAGTTTACTCGTACGCCACGCGGCTCCATAATTTTCGACCAACCATCGAAATGGAACGTTACACAGAGAACTGAATTCGTTCGCGACAGATTTATCGTTCTGGTCATAGAAGAACCCGAAATACCGTTGCTTTGAGCGTCGCGGCCGCGTTTAGAACGCGTCGAGTAAACCCCTTTACAAGGGGTAGAAAGTCGACGGTAACAAATCATCTCTTGCCTCGTAACAACGGGAACGATTTATGGCTCCACTGTGAGACGGGCGTAAAAGTTAATTAAATCGATGCGAATCGATAACGCGCTGTTGATCGATAAACGTAGACGTACGTTGGAGAAATTTGAAGGTAGACGACATTTAGGTCAGCACGCGAGCTTGAAAGGGCTAATAACCCAAAGATCATCTCACGCGTTAAACGCGATATAAATAGAGCTGTCGCTCCCTCGTTCCTCGTGGCTTTGTCTAGCGAGCTTAAACAATGGAGAAACAATTTGAATCGAAAGACCGTGCACACCGAACGGGGCTACAAACGCGAAGGTAATCTCGTGATAATCGATCGTACGCAAAGAATTAAGAAAATTCCTGGAAACATTGAATGAAAAAACGGAACAAAGGGGGAAAACGTTGGAACAAAGGGAGAAGCAGGAAACGAGTGAAAGCATAAAAGGAGCGGAATAAAAGAGCACGGTAACGGACGAGGAAAAGGGGAGAAAATGAAAACAAAACGGCGAGGGGGGAAAAAGTACAAGGTGGATGGAAATAAAGAGAAAGAGGGGTCGGCCTGGTAGATTTCGCGGTGCAAACGGGGCAGGCGCGAGACGATCAATTACGTAACTCGATAAAAGTAGGTCACGTGTCAAAGTGCGGAGCCATCCCCAAGGTGTCCAACTTTTTGGTATAAGCTCGTAAATTACCAGTCAGCTAGCTGCTGCTACCCCCTCAGCTTTAAATAGAACGTTGGCAGAGGCTCCTGTCCAACTATCTCTCCCTCTCTCCCACCCCTCTCTCTTTCTCCTTCTATCCTTCTCTTTTCTTCGTCCCATCGTTCGTTCGTTGTTCGTCGGTTCCTTCCTTTCTCCTTCTGTTCCCATCAACCGAACTTTCCTCTTCATCCCTCATCCGGGCCGCTCTTGTGTTCCTTTATCACGTAGATCGCTCGTCGTTTCGTCGAACACGAGGCAAAGTTAGCCGGACACGTAAGTCGCCGGTCGTTAGTCGTCGACGACGATAGCTCGTCGAGCCACCAGAAGAAGAAAACAAGAGAAACGAGAAGACTGAGAATGAGAATCTTTGAGAAACTGCACGAGCAACAGAGAGGGAGAGAGAAAGAAAGCCAGGGTGAAAGATAAAGAGGGAGGGAGAGAAAATTCCTATGCACTTATTCCAGTGCTGTCCAAACAGAGACAGAGCTAACGGAGCAACTCCGTGTGGAAATGTTCCCTTGCGAGTCGAACGAGGAGAGAGAAAGAAGGAGAAAGGGAGAGAGAAAGCGTGACGGCAGGAAAGCTAAGACAATCAATAAGATCGCCGGGTCCGAAGGAGCTCGTGCTCGGATTCGTCGAGTTGCTTCGCTGCTTTTCTTTGCCAGGGACCATGAGATTCCTTGTTTAACAGCTAACTCGCAGTCTATCGTCGTTAAACGCAACGTCCCGAATTAGGATCCTCTCGAGACCGTGAACGGGAAAGGAATGAAGACGAACAGGAAGGATCGACGCGAAGGAAGGAAAAAGATTAACGCGTGGGTGAAAAGTGTTAGGGTAGAAAAGGGTGGGAAATTAGAGAGAATACCGACGGGATTTAGCGAAAGAAAAGATTAACGAGGAAAAAGGTGTGAGATAGAGAGACGAAGAGAGGGTATGGAATTGGAGAAGAGTAGCTGGTAAGGGTCGATAGCGACTCTAGTCAGCGACAATCGGATAGGTCAGGATAGACAGGGATAGGCTAGGATAGTCGTAGATATAAGGCGTACACGTATACAGAACAGCCAACCAGCGACGCCCCAAGTTTCGGGGGATGCATTCCAAGCCTTGCACCGGGGATAGTAATTTCTAGATACCAACCACTAAATTCCGACCATCAGTCGTCGTCTAGCGGGCGTAGAAATTACGGTGCAAGATCCGTGCCGATTGTCTGGCTGGTTCGTCCTTCGTACAGCATCGAGATCCCGGGGAAATCAATAAAGGGGAAGAAACGGTTTGAAAGACTATTCGCTGGAGAGAACAAAAATCATATAAGTTTGCCCTACTACCCCCTGTGTACGGAGGGAAAGTATGGAAAGGTGACAGAATCGCCGCTCTGGCGGACGGTACCGGAACTACGAATTATCCCCATCGGAGCTTACCCGCCAGGGTGCACTTCTTTCGGGGGTGCTTCGATAGAGGGTTGCAAAATCCTGGAACGTTCAAACTGGGACGTGCTACCAGTCGATAAGGAAGACAACCAGTTTAATGCTTCCTGGTCAACTATTTCATTGTTCCAGGAAAATCATCAAATATAAGGGTGAAAGAAGAGCACCTAAGACAACAATTACTGAAAACATTTGGA